TAAATAAATAAAAATTTAAAAAAAAAAGAAACTGTCCTACTAATTGGTTTTGAAATTGTTTCATTGCTATTTGTTTCTCAATAAAATTAATTAATAAAATAAAAACAGAGCAAAAGAAAAATCAGAGTGTTCAAGTACCCTATAATCAAATTTGCTGTGATATGGTAGAGGCAAGCTCATGAGAGAATAAGCAAGAAAGAACAGAAAAGCAAGAAAGGAAATGAACAGGACAGTTTGAAATCCCAAGCTAATGTACAGTAAACTTTCATTTTCAACTTTCCTAGAGAAACTATTGGTATAAAATAAAATTGAACTTTAATCACACAATGTACAAATGAGGTGGCAGAAAAGATTAGGTTAGAATATTCTTAGCAATGCCTTTCGACTGCTATACTTAGTGTTTCCAAGCCACTAAGCCCTCAAGATATTAGGAGGTATTTTATAAATAAATACATGAACGGTCATACAAGCTAGAAAACTGCCAGGTTTAGCAATACTGACCAAGTTTCCTTTTGTTTTGTGGTAGGGCAGCCTTTAGAGGGTTCATATGAACTGTGAAAGTCTCAGAGAGGGTAAAAGCCAGCAGACCGCAAATTTGTCTAACTTCAGGACCCTATTAACATCTCCCAGAAACTGTTTCATCACAAAAAGTTTGGGAAAGACTATGGTATCCCTTAAAGATGGTTAGCATGGTTCTCCTACAGTCAGTATTAGGAATTTTCCATGGTTTCAATACAAATATTTACCACATGTTTACTATCCAGGACTTCATATATACACCCCAGTTAAAGAGAATAAAAAGGAAAACTAAGAGGAGGAAAAGGTCCTAGCACTTTTCTGCCTGCATTTCCTATACAGCTGTTCCTGTAGTATGAAATCTCCACAGTTTGGCAGGAAGCTTTAGGATTGTACCGAGTGCAGGGCTCAGTGTTTACTCTGTACTAGGAAATCTGGTAGGCAAAAAAGCAGACTCATTCATTAACAGTGACTTGAGAAGTCCCATTCTGCTGGTCAGATATTCATTCCCTAGGCCCCAATGCAAACAGAGAGCCCACCTCAGGAAGCTCAGATGAGGACCACTGATAGCAGCAGCACATTTCAGACTAGGAAGAACCTATTGTCATCTGTGCAACAATGGAAAGAAAGATAAGGAGGTTGCTTACAAAAGTCTTCCGGGACAGGTTTTCTACACATTTATCCAGGTGGCTCTCAAGCCAAGGCTTGAAACCAACAGCTGGCAGATAAGACCCAGCAATGCCTGCTAATTTTATTGTCAGCAAGGTCAAGTTTGCTGCCATTACAAAGCAGGGGCCTCAATGATTTAGGTCCATCTAGGTCAGTGATGGAGACCTTTTAGAGACAATTGCCTGAGCTGCAACCCAAAACCTACTCATTTACCACAAAGTGCCAACACTGCAATTAAACCTGAATAGTGAGACTTTAGTTCAGAAAAAATAACTCATAGATTTACACCTTTTGTCTTACAATAAAAACAGCATGCAAGCCATATTTGCCACCGCTGGTGCTTTCACATGGTTTATAACTTGGTTATAAATGCAGTGGATCTTCTCTATTGCTGTAGATTTTGATAATACATTACAGTGATGGGGAGAGGAGAAGCCTAAAGCCTGTAGTTAGTCCTACTATTTACTAGCTTCGCCACCTTGGTGACTGCTTAATCACTGTATGTTCCAATTTCCTTCTCTGTACAAAAAAAGATATTAGTACCTATTTCATAAGGTTTTGTGAAGATTGAATAATGCACTGAATGCCCGGTATTGTAGATGCACAATTAACATAATTAATAATCTTGAATGAGCAGGAATTATATCTAAGGAAAAGCTCAAGGTAGAACTAAGGGTTGGCATTAGATAAATAGAAGGAACACAATAATTACTTATTAAATGACCAAAGGGCTGGAGAGATGGCTCAGTGGTCCAAAGCACCTACTTGGAACAAGCTTGGCGAAGCGCAGGGACCGCGGTTCGATCCTCCAGCACCACATGCCAGCCAGCCGCGCCCCCTGGTGGGCTGAGCTAGCCACACACATACACACACACACACACACACACACAATAAATGTTAAAATAAAAATAAAAAAATAAAAAAAAATAAATGACCAAAATCTCTTAAAGCCAATGCTGGATTCCGGAAAAGGAGTTTTTACTTGTGTATATGCAAGTTAAAAAGAACTTAACTATTCAGTGCCCTTGAAATCAAAGTAGGAAGCTACACTTATGGTATCTACATCTCATGGTTGAGTAGGTGCTAAAGAGCATCCAAATGTCTGACACAACGACAAGCAAACAGTGAAAGTGGCTTCAATGACTTGCTCTGGAGATGCATCATATGGAAAGGCTTTGCTCTGAACTACCCAGAGCAAAAAAGTAGACACTGCAACTCTCTGTAGACAGATTCCCCCACATTTTCTACCAAAGTCAGAATCTTTTTTGCCATAATTTTATTGATAAACAAATAGCAATGAAACAGTTTCAAACCAAATTGGTAGGACAGTTTCAATAATTAACACACTGCATACATTCTTCTTAGTGGTTAATTGCTGTACAAGATGTGGACATGCTATCCTATTTACAAACACTATTAGAACAAATCCCTGTATTCATTAAGAGAATGTAACTATATATCTATCCTAACCATTTTGAATACACAGATACAAAATGGACATTCATCTGTATCACTTTTTTTGTTAAGTTCCATTATTTAAATATTATAGGTGTGTAAACTCAGCAAAATATTCTAAAAGAGTTCAGTAGTCCATAATAGTATTGGGTCTTCCGCTTAACTGGCAATGTCAGAAATGGTTGACCTGAGTCCCCCACAGCTCAGCATAACAGCATGGCTTTACTTCTCATATTTTGTTTTTATATTTTTCTACTGGATAGTTAAGACCAAGGTAAAGCAGGACCTATGCAACAAGAGTTGTAGCTTTTGGGTCTGATAAGGTCAGTGAAATCCCCTCAGGATTTATCCTGAGATCTTGTACCTCAGATTGTAGAACCTTTGTCAGTGTCCCATCACCTGAGGAATGGTTGAAAAAGATGTGGTATTTTTACACAATGGAGTATTATTCAGCTATTAAGAATGATAAACTCGAAGCCTTTATATTGAAGTGGATGCCACTTGAACATATACTCATAAGTGAAATAAACCAGACACATATGTGTAAACATCATATAGTCTCCCTAGTATAAGAACTCAAAAGAAGAAATACAAATAGAAAGATATAATACAAGTAAAAGGAAAGCAGGATCTCAAGGACTAACTAATCAAGTGAGGGAAAGGAAAAGAGCTAGGAAACATGACAATGTGAAGCCATACAGTTATATGTAGAAGATGAGCAAGGCAATGATCCTGAGAATCTTCAGAAGATTTTTTAATCTAGCAGTTAATTGGAAAGACTCTCACCCTGACTAACTATATATACTGATACCTGTGAACTAAGCTACTGCACTGCAGATGGTAATTTGTAATAGTAGTTTCATGCTTGGAGTGCCTGTCATTCTGGTATTCTGAATATGGGCTGCTTGTCATGACATGCCAGTTGCTGTTATGATGTCTCTCAGCTAGGTGGATGTTCAAGAAGAAGGAGGTGGTGAAGGAAAGCAAAGTTAGAATCTTTAAAGGCAGAAAGTTTCTTCAGCAGCAATTAAGGAAAGGAATGTTCTGTAGTATTGCATACCACACTCCGTACATTTGCTGCTTCTCACATAGTAGCACATAAGGCCAAATTAGTTTATAGGTGAAACAGATTTTAATGACACTCTTACACTCCTGCCATTTCAATTTATCAACAAATACCACCCTAAAGAAGGCACCATGTGCTCAGGCCACAGCACTATCCCCATGTCGATAACCAATTAATTTTTAGTGTATATAGGACCCACACAGATCCTGAAATGCTAATGAAAATATAGTCACCCAGACTTCATGTACTATTTACAACCATGTCCCCATCCCAACTGGACAGGCACCCTTGTTATTCCTCCCTGTATAAAAACTACACACAGGGGGGCACAATGGCACACACTTGTAATCCTAGCACTCTGAGAAGCTGAAGCCAAATGATCCCAAGTTTGAGCCCTGCCTGGGTAACTTAGCAAGATCCTGTGTCTTAGCTACTTTCTTGTTGCTGAGACAAAATACTTGACACCCAAAGGTAAGGGAGGGAAGGTATATTTAGCTCACAGTTTGTAGGGGTTTCAGACTGTAATCAGCTGGCTCCAAGGCAGGGTAGTGTCACTGAGAAAAGTTCATGGCAGGCAGAAGGCAACAAAGCTACCAGGGAAGACCATAGCTCTTTCTATCCCTTATATCTTATCCAGGCTGCTTATGGTTGGTAGCACTCACACACTTTAATCTTAGTGTCCCTGATCCTACCATTGCACCATGGGTCAATTCCAGCATCACACACTATAGATCAAATCACCTCTGAAAACACCCCAACTATGACAGCACAAGGCTATGGGGAACATCTAGGCATGAGCATTAATAGTATGTCTCAAAGTTAAAGGAGTTGGGGATGAGGTGGCTGGAAGGCAGCTCAGTGTTAATACCACGGATTCACTTCCCAGTACTGTCAAAAAGAAAAAACCACATGCAACCCTCAGTAATCAACAATCTGCTAGTACATGCTTGCTTGGTAGCTTTCTAAGGAATCATCCTTCCATCCGAGGCTGGGAGACGGATTGTGTGAGAAGAAATTAAATCATGTTCTACTTTCTTCATCCAACTATTATCTTGGGAATCTGACAAACCAGATCTGTGCCAAATTAGCCCTTGCTAGTGGTAACACAGCTGACCTACCAAACAGCAGACAAAAATCCTATTTGTTTCCTACCTGTGATGGGCAAGGTCTCGGAGGAAGTGCAGGTGGTGGAGGCAACAATCCTGACTTAGTAGCTGAAAAGAGAAAACACACATTGTTAGGACTCCTCCCTGGAAATAACGCAAAACCAAAGCAAAACTCTGTACTCAAGTAGGAACAGCAATGGGAGTTGCATTTAACATATTTAAGTTTTTAAAATCTGTCAGGAAGCTTATTTTTTAAAGTACATGTTCTTTCCAATCCTTGTTTTATTTTCTTCTACCCAAACCCCTAATATTTACATAGGCTGCTATGACTCATACAGGGTAAAATGCTAAGGAAAAGATAATTTTGGATTAAAAGATGAGACCACGGTATGAGTAAGACAGTCAGTTCCTTATTTTGATGTTAATTACTTAGTTTCCAATAATCTCAGTGTAAAGTCGGAGTCTTCTTGGTCATATCTCTCACTGTTCCTGGCTCTCTGCATTACTAAGGACGAGCACAGGGCACAGGCTGCTAATGGAAAGGACGGAGGCACAGCCCAGGGCAGCAGCTCCTGGGCCTGTGTGTACTCCTGCAGATGGGTCTGCCAGCACTAGAGGAGGCCGAAAGCCATTGACGGAAATGATTTCTTCAGTTCAAAAATCTCAATTTCCTTTTTCCCCACCCTTGTCATTATCATCAAAGATAACTAATTTCTGTTTCAGAAACAGCCTGGCCACATTTCAAAGATCTTTTGAAGGAAAGCTGCATCTAACATTTTTGTGTATTAAATACATAGAATATTTGAGTTAAGCCAAAAATATGTGAATTATTGTTTAACAATAAAAATAAACAGCCGGTATGGACTTATAAATAAAATCCATAATCACACACAAGAAATTGGATTACACCCAGCCAAGTTAAACCAAATTCTTTATAAACTCCTTAGAAAAACACCATGTCTATTGCAGTCTATTCATAAATCTGTAATATATGTGCTAATACTTGGACAATTTTCTGTGCCTTAAAACATGAATAATAAGGATGTACCAAGAAGAGGAAAGTTCTTGCGAATCACTATTGGTCTGTCCTAGCTGGATTAGACAAACTGAACAATAAAATCTAGTGCTTTCCACAAATGTAACTCAGAGTAATGCCACAGAGATGTTTACTCTGAGCCAGCACATGGAATCACACAAGCATATGGGCCTGTCTGTGATTCTTCTCAGTCTGTCTTTCATTAACATATATGAAATACATCAGAAGATCAAAACTACACAGGTTCAACAGCCATTAATAACAAGCATGCAGCAGAAGAGTGCTGAAATGCTTTGGGACTTATGCATTGTTGGGCTCCTACTCAATAGGTCTTTATAGACTGAGTCTTTAAATTCCCAGTTACTTTAAAAACAAAATGAAACAGACAAGCAAAATCTGAGCGTGCTTCCAAAGGAAAGGCCAAAATGACTAATGTGTATATTAAAACAACATTCTTAATAAGAAAAGACTAAGAAATGATGAGCCATGTAATTAAATAGACTTCTGCTTCCAGCCAAGATGAAGCAACGTAGATTCAATCTACTGACCCATTTAAAACAAACCAAAACAAATAGGAAAACATATTAAAACAACAGCCTTCAAGATACTAGAACGAAACACATACACAAGGGCTTCAAAACACCAGAAAATCAGAGAACAATGACAGTGGAGAGATGAAACAAAGGAGAACTCTGTGACTATCTCTGCCCACTACCTTGAAAATTGCTAGAAGACGTATAATTTCTAGGTTCAGGTCTAATTATGCACTTTTTATTACTATTACTTTTTACTACTTTTCTGATTTAAAAAAATGTACAATTTTTGAAAAAACATATGGGTCTATTTCTGAACATACTTCTGTATAAAATTGGATCACCTGCAAACACCATTTATTGGATTCATTAGAAATTGCCCCAAATTTGAAGGAAAAATGGGGTGAAAAATTGAGACCATCTAAAATGGGATCTGACCTCAAAACAGTGTCACAGATGAGTGTCCATTGTTCACTCTAAACTTCTATGAGTTGGTACTGGTTATTTTTTCATTAAACTCATAGCGGATGGGGGAGCCAAAAATATAAACAATAGCTTTGTTTTTTCTTTTCATTAGTTTTGCTTTTGTTCTGGTCTTACTTATCTAGAACATCTATTATAAATTTGAATTTAAATGGTGACAATGGATATGTTTGTCTTCTCTTGATCTCAAGGGGAAACATTTACTAGTTCACCATGAACTATGGTATTTACTATAGGTTTACTGTAATATCCTCTAATCCATTATGAAATTTCCCATCTGTCTCAGTTACTCTTCTCTCATTGCTGGGACAAATACCCAACACTCCAAATGAAGAGAGGAAAGGCTTAGTTAGCGCACAGTTACTGGAGGTTCCAGTTCATACTCAGCTGGCTCCAAGGCAGCAGGGCACATGGCAGAGGGCAACATTTCATGGCAGCAGCAAAGAGCAAGAGCAAAGGGAATGGCAGCAGCTCAAGCAGATACTAGCCTCTCTTCCCTCCTTACATTGTGATGCAAGCTACCTGACCCAGGGCAGGTGGAGCATCCACACCCACAATAATCAATCATAAACTCCAGAAGTCACCCCATGACTGCATGAGGTTTTGGGGGGACATCTATATACACACCATAACACCATTTATTCCTATTTTGAGATCTTTCAGAATAATTTGCTGCTGAGTTTTAATGAAAGCTACAATTCAATCCATTGAGATAATGGTATGATTTTTCCTTGTAATTTGTTCATATGGTAAACTGCACTATACATTTTGTAACAGTGAAATATACTTTCAGACCTGAGATAGACTCAACTTGCTAAAAATGTTATATTTGCTTCATTTAGTTAGCTAGTATTTTGTTTAGGATTTTACAACCATATGCAGGAGCAATGCTGACAATCATGGTTTTCCTTTCCCAAAAGGTCTTCACTTATGCTTCACTCAGCTAGAAAACATTCCTCTCATATATATTTTAGAATAGGTTGTAAAATTGGAAATTTTAGCCAGGCATGATGATAGGCACCTATAAATCCCAGCACTTGGGAGGCTGAGGTAGGAGGATTGCCATGAATTCAAGGCCAGCCTGAACTACATAATGAGTTCAAGCCCAGCTTAAACTACATAGTGAGACTGTCTCAAAAAAAAAAACCTCACAAAAAATACAGATTTTTTTTTCAGATATGTTAAAACTTGCCCATAAAGCCACTTGACCTGGAATTTTCTTTAAATATATTTTTAAAAATGATTCCATTTCTTTGTTATAAGAGCATTCAGACTAATCCTTAAATCAATTCTGATTAATGGTATTTCTCTGGCTATTTGTTCATGTTGTCTAAATGTTCAAATTCACTGCTCTGATGGCTTGACTGTCCAGTTATGATTGCCTTATATCTGCATGTGTATTCATCTTTTTCCACTACTCAGTGTTTGTGTCATGCTAGTTTTCCTTCATTAGTCTCACTTGGCATGTATCAGGTATATTGTTCTTTTCAAAAACTTAGCCTTTTAACTTTTTAAAGCTGTATTATATGCTCACTTTGTGATTCATCAGTCTCTTTCCATGTACGTTATATAGGTTTGTCTCATTATTTTTTCCTATGTTAAATCATTTGCTTCACTTATTTGTTTCTAGATTTTCTTTATTTTCTTTTTTCAGTACTGAAGTTTGAACCTAGCACTTTCACACTCAGCTATATACGTGCTCCATCTACCTTTTTTTTGTATCTTTTGTTTCCTTTTCTTTTTTGTTTAGTTCAGATTGGCCTCAAACTCATAGTAATCATCCTGCCTCAGCCTCTTGTGTACTGGGATTACAGGCATATGCCACTACATCTAGCAGTCATCTACCATTTTGAACAGGCACTATTGTGCTAATTGCCCATTATGGGCTGAAAACTTGTTATTTTCCTGCCTCAGCTTCCCACAATGCTAGGATTATAAATATGGGCCACCAGGTGCAGCTTCTTGCTTCTGCTTCTTTTTGGGTTTTATTAGTACATGTTTGCAGTACATAATGATTGTATCCCCTGTAGGGACTCGGTACACATGCACAACACATTTCAATTTTTTTCCACTGCCTCCACCCCTCTTTCATTTTTCTAGCATCAAACTCATTTATTAATCATATGAAACCTAATAAAGTTAATTGTCTTATATACAGATTGAAAATCAGGCTAATAGATCAAAGAACATGTAAAACACATAAGACAATTGTACTAAATCAATGAACACTTTTAGATACACTGTCCACACTGGCTTAGAATAACTTTTTTTCCTATTTC